TTTACTTTATTGTCACTGTACCAGGTACATACAAGGGCAATGAAACACAATTGGACTCTGATCAGAAATACAGCAACAATAAAAAAAAAAAATACTAATACCAATTTTCAACCTAACATTATACACTTGTGCCACCATATAGAGATTCAACATACAACCCATAACCCAAATCTAAATAAAAAACAAACAAAAGTCTATCCCATAAAACCACTATACCTGTGCAATAAGTGTACCAACTACCCTACAGTTAATACTCTAGTGCTAATAAATACCCACTCCTTAACAGTATGTCTTAATCATGTGACATAAAAGTGCTTAATGTTTCTCCACTGACTCCACTGACCACTCCTCAGGTGGCTACTAGAGGTTCTTCCTGGGGCAGTGCTGCACAGTGAGCAGCACTACCATTTAGTGTCTCCACCCTCTGTATGGAGACAAAAAGCATTAATCATAAACATTAATTGATTTAATTAATCTCTATGAGGAGATGCTGATAGGGCTGTGTTTGACTTGTGTGGTTGGCTCAGACCACCACTTCTGATGATGTTAGCCAAGCAGGCAGATTATAGGCAGAGGCAGCTGCTGCAGACTTGAATACAAGTAATATTTTACTATATTTAGAGAGGCAAGGAGAGGCCAGGGAGTGGTGTGGGGTGAGGGGGGCAGCTAGATGGTGGTTCTAACACTATAGGGTCAGGAATATATGTGTGTGGTCCTGCCTTTATAGTGTTCATTTAAGTCTTTACTGATGCTGTAAATAAAACAAAAATTGTACTTTTTGAATATAAGTAGCACTATATTAGATCTACAAAAATTTGCATTTGGGAATCTACATGAAATCTATATACTTAACATATATAAATAAATTATTCTAGAGTCTATGAATAAACCATGGCCCCAATTTAATATTTAATATTGTTGGATAAGTTTTCCAAATGATTTAATATTTTTGGACAAACTTTTAAAATTATTTAATATTATAAAAATATAAAAATGTGTAATAGTTGACACTTATATATTCATAGTTTTTTTTTTAATATATGATATACGTTTAATATGTTGAAAAAAACATGTGAAATGTTTTTCCCAAAAATATTAAATTATTTGGAAAGCTTATCCAACAAGATTAAATTGAGGCCCCGTCTTCCCAAATATAGAATGAAGGGATATATTTAGAAATGTAGTTCACAAATAAATGAAGCACCAAACACAGCATTGCTTGTCAGATACAATGGCAGGCTCTTACTGAATATGTGTTTGGATGCATTCTTCTAGCTGATATCATGATATAGTGCAGAGATAGTTGAAACTGTGTAAACTATGGCCTTGAATTAACAAGATTTCCAAATGATTCAATACTCTTAGAAAACCTTTCCAAGTGATTTATCTTCACAAAATTACATATACGTTAATAGTGACTGTAGAACACTTGGGAATTTTATTTTTTTTAACAATATTGAATCATTTGGAAAGCTTATTAAATGAAGGCCTGTATCTCCAATTTTATAAATAGTTGGTTCACCAAGTTTTGTTGTTAGTAATACTGTGATTTAACCACTAAAATAGTTATATAGAATATTCATTTTTTCATTACCTAAATAATCTGCAAGATAAATGCCTAAAGGTAAAATGAAAACCTACTTTAAATGATTCCCATTTATATTGGAATGATATGGCAATCTGTTAGACTATAACTTTTCACAAAGATAATGATTTATATATTTTTTTAAATAATCTTTTAATATAAATTATTTATTTTTAAACTGTCTTCATAAACACTTACAGCCAATTCCTGAACACATGTATTCTATCTGACATACTGTGTCAATCATAAGTCAACAAACCTAATTAAGTTATGTTAATATGTTTAATTTGTGGATGGAGCATTTTGAAACCAGTTTTGTTATTCTGGGGGGGCTGACTCTGCTAAAGATCATGGGCATTAATTGATAACCTGGGTCATGTGGTACATCAAAATGTGTCCCTTGAAATAGTAAACAGCAACTCATAATCAATCCTAGCTGAATATAATTCAACTAAACACAGTCTAGTACAGGGATAGGCCACCTTCGGCACTCCAGATGTTGTGGAATACACCCCCCATAATGCTCCATGCAAGGCACCATGGGCGGTGTAGTCCAAAACATCTGCAGTGCCAAAGGTTGCTTATGCCTGGTCTAGTATATATAACTATATAAATATCACAGATTACATTCATTTTATGGATGGAATCCCAGTACAACAATATTAAAATGATGACTCTGTTTGAAACAAATAATGCCATTTTTTAGTGTTTGCCTCTGTGTCTTTTTCGTGAACAATGGCACTGTTTAGGATATGCAAAATCAGTAATTAAATAAATAAGCAAAAACTATTTCCAATGGCAAGCACTACATTTTATAGTCACCTGTCTATTTTCAATTGATACGTGTGTATGATTTAAAATTTTAAAACATTTTTTATAAAAGTAACTCAAAATTGTATTTTGTCAAGATGTATTGCATTGTATGGATTTCTAATCTTGTATGTGAAATTTTGGATGGTGGGTGCAAGCATTATGAGATTCTATGAATAGGTGAAACTTGAGTGAGCATTAAATAATTGAAAGCTTTTTGGATGGCTGATGGGACAGGGTTTTAATTATTTTGTTGAAAGTTCTAGTCTAGGTTTCCATCATAGCATCTGTACTATACAGCACCTTGGATAGCACTTTCATTTTAGACAATGCTCAGCTGAAAATGTTTGGATTAAATGTAAAAATAGCCACAATAGGTCATTTCGGCTAAGGCATGGCACTTAAGAGAATTGTAAGAACAAAGGAGCAGACTTTTGTAACTTTAAAAATGGTTTCAAGACATATGGGCATTTATAGGTCAGTTTAAATGTATAGATGCATGGGCTTTTTATTATTTTTTTTAGATCTATGAAATGTTAAGTTATTTAAGACAAACTTTCTATTACTAGAGTAAGATTTTTTTCACAATTAATTGCCTTAAAACATTTTTTAATCATAAGCTTTTGACTATTACAAATATGTGGAACTAGATAAATATTGATAATTGGAACATTACCAGTACATGAGATTTAACACTTTCCATTTTCACATTTATGGTTTTATAATTAGGTGAACATTTATCTGACTGGTAAAAGGTTGATAAACAGACAATACAATTCTTAAAAACAATTATTTTTTTAAGCTTTTAAAGAACAAAACTGAAAAGAAAACAATGTGTGCAGTTTCCTTGTGATAAATGAATTATGTGAAGATACCATGTTATCTTTTTTTATTCAATAGAAGGAGGCAGGGGTTTTGGTATTATAAGGAGTGTAGTGATTACTCTGTGGGTAAACTGTACTCTAGTATTCAATGCAATTAACAAACCTCATATGTGCTATTTCTTCTGACTATTATACAGAATTAGCAGATGTTAAGGACAAAACACTTCATACTATAGCTGCACGATTAACCATTGCAATAAATTCACATGCTGCAAAATTTTCAAAACAATATAACAAAATAAATGAACCTGATTTGAACAATTTAAACAAATATGTTTTAAAACGACTTGTGCATGCAGTTTCAAACAAATTGTTTTTCATCTGAATTTTGGGCAATCGGCATTACTTTGAAATTCCACTGCTCCAAATTGTCATATGGCTGTATCACGAAACAAATTAAATAGGCAATCGATTAATAGATGTGTTTGTTTCGTGATTCCAAATTCCGTACATGGCACCGAAAAGAAGTGATAATTATGAGGAGCAGTATAAAATAAAAATCTATATTTATATATTATATATTTAACCCCTTAAGGACCAAACTTCTGGAATAAAAGGGAATCATGACATGTCACACATGTCATGTGTCCTTAAGGGGTTAATAAATAGATAATATATAAAAATAGAAACATAGTTTTGTTTTACTACTCCTCATTTCTTCCCTTAATTGGTAGTTTCTTTTCTTTTGATCTGTTACCAAAGGAAAATGCCCCTACTGGTAAACTGCAAAATATATACATAACATTAGTATTTTGTTAATATTTTGCAGTATTCTGATTGATGCTTTATTGCATCTTTTTTATTTGTACAAATAATTGTTCATGGGCTAAGTTTGTCTGAACCAAAACTTTTTTTCTTTACAAATCGATTTTGGCGAACCAATTTACTCTGTGGAGAAGACTAGTTTTTAATAAAAGTAAAACATCTTTTACTTAAAATAAAGCTTTACACACTTGTGTAATTTTTGTACTTAAAATATTTTTTTTAGCCTTGTTTTCTGCAATGCTATAAATATAATAAGTCTATATGAAAGAAGAACTATTAATGATAATTGTATGAGGTGATACGGCTCAACTGGGCTATCTCTGAGGTACCTGTTCTGGTTACAGCTTTCACAGTGGCAGCATATGCTGACTTTGTTTTACTCTATCTTACTGATCCAGAATCAACCATAGTGACCATTTTAAGCCTCTTACATAACTACAAAATTTTTAGCTACAAGCTTAAGTTAACAAAGTCAGAGATGTTCCTGGTAGAAAATAACAAAGATTGCCTTTCTCGTTTTGCTTGTAAACCTGCTAGCACAGTGTGTAATCAAAATTATATGCTCTTCAAAATAGCATAAGTTAAAATAGGACTACAGGTATCCTGTAATTAATAAATAATAAGCCTGATGTTATTTTTACACTTCCATTCACCTTTTTTTCTCACAGCTTTCACTTGCAACTCCTTTTTTCTTTCTTCATTAAAATGTCACCAGCATGGCTAACCCCCACGCAAGAAGGCCGCTTATAAATTTGCTCCGGTGCCTGGGCTCATAATCCAGCATCATCCAAGCATTCAGAGCTGTATCTGAGGCTACAACCTGATAATGTCTCAACAAAGAAGCAAAAAGAGCTTTGTAAAAAAACGAAAAGCTAAATTTTTTCGGCCAGAAACAACACCCTGCAACCCTGGCCTAAGTCAAAGATGGTGGAAAGGAGTCCGAGGACAGCCTTCCAATGCTAGAGACTGACACACTGACCCGCCCAACTCAGATGACTAAATCTAACCTAAATGAAGCTCTAAATGCCCTATCTACAAAACTTGTTACTACTTGGAAACATACAGCGAATTCCCTCCATAAGGACATCCAAGAACTTGGAAAGCAGTTATCCCATATGGAGGATAAGTGTGACGAATTATCCACGGTACAAAATGATTTAGCAACAAATGTTGAACACCAGGCGACCAAACTGGATATTATGGAATCTAAACTAGCCGATATAGAAGACCGGGTGTGCAGGAACAATCTCAGGCTGAGAGGGGCCCAGGAGGACGTCTTGCCGGTGAGCTTACCTGCATATGTCAGGGGCCTCTTCCACGCCTATGTGCCAGAGATTCCAGTGGACATACTGCTCATCGATCGAGTACACCGCATACCAAAGCCGCAACATCTTCTTGCCTCCCTGCCACGAGATGTGCTGCTTTGCGCTCATTACTTTCTTTTTTTATTTTACAAAGCTTTTGATAGGCTGCACTGGGGATTCCTCACAACAGTTGTATGAAATTTGGATTTCTGGAACAGTCCCTTACGTTAATCTATGCTCTTTACTTAAATCCAACAGCAAAAGTTGTAAATGGGGTATTTACTTCGCATACACTGTCGATAATAAACGGGTCTTGGCAAGGATGTCCTTTGTCCCCCCTCTTGTACATATTGACATAAAACTGACATACAAACTCCCACCAAGAGCTTTTTTTCAGTATCTTCAATTGAAATCATGGCTTTAAAAACACTGTAACCCAAAGGTAACATATGTAAATGGACAACAGCTGACGGAGGTGGAGAAAATTTGTCTAAAACAAAAACCACCATGGAAATTAATATTGGTACTGTATAACATAGAACTAAACAAAACAGCAAATATGAAACCCAACTTTATGGTTGCGTGGGAGAAAGAACTAAACTATAGTATAGACGAAACCGAGTGGTCTCATATTTTAATAGCACATAACAAGCTCACATAATTCACTACATATATTGAGCTATCCAGAAAGATCCTTTATCATTGGTACATGGTCCCTGCCTGCCTAAAACACACTGACCCCAAAAAATCAGGAAATTGTTGGAGATGCATGACTGAGCCTTGGACCATGCTTCCTACATGGTGGTCATGCCAAGAACTCACAGTATTCTGGGAAAAGATCTCCCAATTAATAGAGCACTGTGGATCTTAAATTGCCTCATGAACTGGAGATCTATCTACTGTACAGGATCCCGGGGAAAATCTCCAGAGAAAAACAATATTTAATAAACCACATAATTACAGCATTGAAGGTGACAAGTAGAACTTGGCTGCAAATGTCAGCGCTGAATGTTCACTTTGTAAGAATATTATGAAAATTACGAAAACATATGAAACAGCAGCAAGGTGGCTTTTGCCCCTGAAAAGTTTCTGGAGCAAAGCTTGGGAACGATGGGAGCAAAGTCTGGAGAGTGGCCAAATATGAGTATAAGACTCCATAGAAATTCTGAGTCCGCACACAAAGTTGGGCCCTATAAAGTATAATATAATGGCCTCCCATGGGACTTGCTACCCTACAAAATAATATATATTAACCCCAATCTCTCAACCATAACAATCCCACTCCGACAGCTGTGTCCATACTTGTCGGCCTAGTAAATGGGCAAATGTACCAAAACCAATGTTGCCAATACATTGTACCTAAACCAAATGTATAGCTTGGAAGAATAACTGATTCAAAAGTATTTTTTTCTCCTAGCTTTCAGTCAATGCCATGGCAGACACTGAATGCCAAGGCACTGACAGACTAGGGAAAGCAGAAACGATTTCACACAGGAGGTCCTTCTGCTCTTACAAGCTTAGGAACCACAGTGCATGTTCTGTGGTTGCTATGGAAATTCCGCAGCTGGCACTTATAGCACTTGCTAGAGACTATAGGAATGGAGTGACGTCACTCTGTTCTGACACCTGCATGCAGGCTACAAAGCCAGCATGCCAATATCACTGGGGATGCAAATCAAAGAAGAACAGAGGCCAACTAGATGTAATGCAGAGAATGACCTCAGTTACATGAAGAGTACCACCCAGGAAACTTGACCAGAGGTGAGGGTGAGTAAATCAATATTTTTTACATTAAATACATCATGTATCCTTCTGATATATGGAAATTTTGAAGTATATGGGAGTGATTTCAGATAAGTGAGTATCTTTATTACAGTTACAGTTACAGATTACAGTAACCCAGAAGCCCTTCATACACTTCTTGATGGAAAAAGTATATGTTGTTTTCAAATTAATTGGTAGAAATCAATTAGCTGCAAGGATCACATAACCAGTTATTGTACATTTACACTTATTCACTGGCATGGAGACTAGGAAGAGTACAGGTTCCAGAGACTTCTACTTGTATATGAAGTATATTAATTGTGTTTAGCTCCTGAATCAGAATTTGATAATCAGATTGTATCATTACCTATCTTGATGGTTTAACAAGGTTCTCTGGTTGGTATATTTGCCAGCCATGTTAACTCAGCAGAATGGTTGCATGTAAACAATCCAACAATCTTCTATAGATGCCATATATTTAATTACAATTATGTCTTATATTGATTAGTTCTCAGTTTACATCTCTCAGGAGAATAAGCATTAGTAATGACCATAAAATAGTTTTACCAGTTCATTTGGCTGCAGTAGGTCATTGAGTGGAAGATAAAGTTACAAACTTAAGGCAAGAGTTAGTGTACCAAAACTAATTACCATCCCAGTAACTAGTTTTGGTACACTAACTCTAGCCTTAAGTCTGTTTTCATTAGGGGTTACCCCCCTTATTTTAGTGTACCATAGAGGCTGCTGTCTGTTTATTTCTGAAGATAGTTACTTTTCAGAATGAATGAAAACGTAATTTACAAAGTTTATACATCAATTCAAAGTTATTGATTGTCGCTATTTACCTTAAGAAAACACTTTATATACATTTTTATGCAAAAATAGTAAGCCATATTTCTTGATACCAACTTTGTTTATAAACTCTGCTTGACATGGCTATTAACATATATTTATAGGATGGTGTAGTTTGATACTGCATGGCAAATAATATATATTTTATTCAATGCTGCTTTAGGTCTTTATGTCAACATTAACTGTGTATATGAATGTGTATGTCTCTATCTATCTATCTATCTATCTATCCTCTTAACTATTTATTGAGGAAGGATAAAAAAAAAAAAACATCCTATTATTGACAGAACTGCATCTGAATTGTACAGCTGGAAAGATTTCTCATTGTACTTTTAGGGCACAATTAGCTTAATTAAAATGATCTCATAGTCTAAAATTACTTGTGCCCTTCAGATGCCTTCTTGATATTATAGTGTATTAAAAAGACATTGTAAAATTAAGTCAAAATATTTTCTCACTTTAGAAAGGGAATGAAAACAGTATAATTGTCTGTATTCAGATATTTCTCCATGAATTTGTTATAATCAGATGAATGCATTTATCGTTAAGCATGTTAACCCCTTCATGACATAATTTTCACCCTATAAAGGATTTGCTGTCTCATTTCGGTTGACATTGTGCAATGATTAAAGCAAGAACCCTTGGTGGATCTCTGAAAAGGTCTAAAATTTGCCATTTATTACTGCTAATTCCGAGTCCTCTGTTCTGTGCCTGTCCAAAACAGCTTAAAAGTAATGTATTCCGAGTCCTCTGTTCTGTGCCTGTCCAAAATAGCTTAAAAGTAATGTATAGCGGAAAAAAAATATTGATTATGAGCAGGGTAGAGATTACCTCCACCAGAAGCAGACCGCCAGCATGGGTCTCACTAAAACCAAAGAAAAAAGTAAAAAAAATGAGACAGAGAGGGGTGTTTTTCTAAACACATACATACTTATTAACGCTTAACAGGGAACACATGGGGTGGGTGGCAGCACTGTAACATGGCTGTGTGATACAAAAGCAAATATAAAACTGTATAAGTGTGTATCTGTGAGTATATGAGTGTGTTTATGTGTAAAAGCATGTGTATCAGTGAGTATGTGTAACAGCTTGTGTATATCTGTGTTTGAGTGTGTCTATATGTGATATTGTATGTGTATATGTATAACAGTATGTGCGTGTATATCTGTGTGTATGTGTAACAGTTTGTGTGTAACAGTTTGTGTGTATCGGTGAGTGTTTGAGTGTGTACATGTTATTTATTTATAAAATATTTTACCAGGAAAGATACATTGAGATTTCTCTCGTTTTCAAGTATGTCCTGGGTCCACAAATCATTGCATTGTTACATTAGGTACAACAAAATACAAAAACAATATTAATACACAATATATACAAAATTTAACATAGAACAGGCAGGAAATATATAATCAACCATGACACGTGCATTCTGTTTTGAGGTATGTAGAGAGGGATCTCTTAAATGACTTTAGGCTTAGGGAAGATTTTAAATTGTGCGGGAGGTCGTTCCACAATTGCGGTGCTCTGTAGGAGAAGGAGGATCGGGCCGCTTTCTTTTTGTATTGAGGTAGACTAAGTAAAGTGCTTGTACTGGATCGGAGCTTATAGAAAGTGGGAACAGCTGGGGAAAGCATTTTGTTCAGGTAGGGTGGGAGTTTCCCAGAAAAGCTCTTAAAAACAAGGCTGGAAAGATGAAGGGTGCGTCTGGATTCCAGCGACAGCCAGTTTAGTTCCTTTAGCATGTCACAATGATGGGTCCTGTAATTACATTGTAGCACAAATCAGCAGAACGAGTTATACAATGTGTTGAGTTTATTAATGTGGGATTGCGATGCAGACGCATATACTACATCCCCATAATCAATGATTGGCATCAGCATTTGCTGTACAATCTTTTCCTTTACTGTAGGGCTTAGGCAGGCTTTGTTTCTGTACAGGGCACCTAATTTTGGATAAAGTTTAGATGCAAGCTTTTCTATGTGCAGGCCAAAAGATAGATTGGGGTCTAATATCATACCCAAGTATTTGAAAGAGTGGACTGCGGTCAGTGTGCCATTTGAATTTGTTTTGATGGATAGGTGGAGATTGTGTAATTTGTGTAATTTAGGTACTGTTCCAAAGATCATTGTGACAGTTTTGTCAGTGTTCAGGAAGAGTTTGTTTTTTGCGATCCACTTTTCTACCTCTGTAAACTGGTCTTGGAGCAAAGCCTCAAGTTGCGGTAGATTGGATTTGCTCGCATAGATTACCGTGTCATCTGCGTACATGTGTACATTTGAGGATTGGCAGACATTAGGCAGATCATTTATAAATAATGTAAATAGTAGAGGGCCGAGAATGGAACCCTGGGGAACACCACACGTGACTGGGAGAGGGAGGGAGTCACTGTCAGAAATGGACACATATTGCGAGTGATCCGATACATATGATCGAAACCAGTTTAAAGAATGATCACCAATACCTGAGTTTTCGAGTTTGTGCAGTAGAATGTCGGTGGGTACATGTGCAATATTGTGTGTAAATATATGTAACAGTGTACATGTATCTGTAAATGTGTGTAACAGTCTGTGTGTCTAAACACAAATACCTTTATTTACTTCACTTTATATCACTGGAGTTTTCTTGAAAGTAGACTATTTAAAGTAGTCTCTTTAAAGTAGGTGTTGAAACAACAGGAGTTTCTTGGAGAACTGGTGGACTGTGGTTGGTATTAGTTAATACAAAGTGGATCTGCTAAAAGTGAAAAAGCAGGTTTTATTTTTTTTAATATTATTATTTAAAACTTTTTTTGTAGATATGTTTCAGCTTTGCTGATTTTATTTAAAATTTTGTCAATTTTTTTATTTATATTTTTCTCCGTGCTGTTTTAATTTAAAAACTGTTTTCCCTTTTCCCTATTTACATTTGTATTTATTTGCTGTTTTATTTAAAAAAATTTCTTTTTTTTTCTCTTGCTGTTTTTATTCCCCTCCTGGGTGTTCTGCTGCTGAGATAATTAGGGGGAGTGCTCTTAATTTTCACCTGTGTTGGATTTGTATTGCCAATATAAACCCACTACTGACTTACAGAGCTTGCTCACTGGAGTTTGCTTGAAAGTAATCTCGTTTAAGTAGGATTTGAAACAGCAGGAGTTCAAACCAAGAGGGTAAATATTGTTTTGCTCACTTGTGTTTTTGGTAACTGGGGATGAGTGCTAGCAAGATTGCAAGTTTTATCATGTATGCATGCCTGGATGAATCTGTCCAGGGTCCATACCTCTGTGGCGGGTGTGAGCGAGTGGCTTTTCTAAAAGATCAGATTGGAGATCTGAAGAGGCAAATTGCAACACTAAGGGAGATTGACAATCTTGAGTCTGCTGCTCACTGAGCAGAGTTTAGTGGGGGCAGGTAGTGGAGTGGGAGGAGATGAGTCAGTTGATGAACAGGCACATAGCTGGGTAACAGCGGGGTGAGGAAGCAGGGAGGGAGGGAAGGAAGAGGAAAGGTTTAACTAGTCCTGATCTTGTGCAGCCCAACAGATTTGCCTGTTTGAGTGAAGATGTTGGGAGCATCAGTTCAGGAGTAGCTATAGTGCAGGAAGCTGTTCCTTCTAACAGCCGTGGGAACAGCCCCTCTAGTATGGGTGAGGATGAGAGTGTAAGGAAGGCTAGACAGGTTGTGGTTTTAGGGGACTCTATTATTAAGAGAGTAGATAAGGTAATCTGCAACTCTGATCGTCTCAGCCGGACAGAATGCTGTCTCCCAGGTGCTTGGGTCCATCATGTTGCTGACAGAGTGGTGGCATTATTAGGAGGGGCTAGGGATGACCCAGCTGTCATGGTCCATATTGGTACCAATGACAAAGTCAGAGGAAAATGGAAGGCCTTAAAGAATGATACATAGAATCGATAAACGATCTGCAGAAATATGAATAAATGCCGAAGAAACAGTGTGCTGTGTCCCAATGCATACACCAGAGGATAGAGGCACATAAAAAATCCCCCCTATAAATCAAAGTATTATCTAAATAATCTAGGTTCCCCATATACAACTATCCTATCTATTAAAAGGTAGGAAATCGAAAGGATAGCAAGATGTATTATAGGTAGTGATGTCCCAAACGGTTCACGAACGGTTCGCGAACGGTTCGCGAACGGTTCGCCACGAACAGTTCGCTGCGGACTCATCATTGAGTAAACTTTGACCCTGTACCTCACAGTCAGCAGACACTTTCCAGCCAATCAGCAGCAGACCCTCCCTCCCAGACCCTCCCACCTCCTGGACAGCATCCATTTTACATTCATTGTGAAGCTGCATTCTTAGTGAGCTGTCCAGGAGGTGGAAGGGTCTGGGAGGGAGGGTCTGCTGCTGATTGGCTGGAATGTGTCTGCTGACTGTGAGGTACAGGGTCAAAGTTTACTTAATGATGAGTCCGTGGCGAACCGTTCGTGGCGAACCGTTCGCGAACCGTTCGGCAAACCGTTCGGGACATCACTAGTTATAGGGGAAAATTAAAGATAGAGGGAGAGAGGTAATCAACAGGGGGGTCCTAAAACAAAAAAAAGAAGAAAGGACACCTCCACTGTAGATACCTCTTGATAGAAATACAAGTGCTCCAACTGGTCAAGTGACCAGCAGGTCAATATCTCATATAGGCACAGTAGAAAGTTACAAAAAGTATGCTAGCATGATGCCAAAAACATAGCAGCATCGGAATAGCCTGACGCGCGTTTCAGCAGTTAGACCGCCTTTCTCAATGGCACACAATAGAATAGAAAATCCCCCGCTCTCACTCACCCATTAAAAGGTTCATCGCTCCTCCTACCCGTAAATGATGGGCCGTCATTATAGACAATCAACCAATAGGCTGTGTCTGTCAATCCCCAATTCCAATAGGGAGTGAACTACGGTACGTCTGAAGGTCCATGTCGAAATATCCGCGCATGCGCGAGAACTTAGTAAAAGATGCGCATATATATATATTTATATATATATAGTGTTGCGCCTATCCAGAGCCGAATAGAAACCTACATACACAAATACCGATTCTGACCTATTACGTTAATTCAATCTTTAGTAATATATGTAAAAATACATGAGTTGGAAAAAGACATGCCAGAATCCAGATGCCTAAGTAAGGATTTAGAGTCCCACTAATTTAGCTCAACAGATTGAAAAACAAAATAAAAATAAATATAAATATAAATAAATAAATATGAAATCAGGCCAGTCAAAATATTATTAAGTAGGTATCACTCTATTTTGATTTCAATTTAATTCACTCTATTATAATTTTATCCTAATTTCAAAGAGTAACAATTATTATATATATAAGAAAAGGCAAAATCCATAAAACCATATATCAAACTGTCCATAAAAGATAAACAGGTTGGGGGTGGGAGGGGGGGAGGGGGGGAGAAACAGAACAAAGATCTTTTATTTCAATATACAATATAAATACATTACAAGATAATAAATAAGCCGAAAAAAGTACACACAAGTGGTCATCATACAAAAAACTTCAGCTGGCAGGCTGAATTAATTCAATCAAGAAAGGGATCCAGGTGTGAAAATACATGTACAAGAGAACTTTATTGCCAATGGTTAAATGAACGGAGCAAAAGAAGAGCCTTAGTTCAAACCCAGACGTTGAAGTGTCTTTAATTCATATATCCACCTAGACTCCCTCTGTCTTAGAATCTTATCAAAAGCTCCACGTCTCAGGTTTCATTCACCAATTCTAGTCCACAAAATTGAAGATTATTAGAGTCACCATGATGGTATTCTTTTAGGTGTCTAGAAATAGGTGTCTCGAGACGGTTCCTGGGGGACCTTACATGTTCCATAATTCTATCTCTAAAGGCCCTAAAAGTTTTACCCACGTATTTTTGTCCACATGAGCATGACAGCAAGTATACAAGGCCCTTAGTATTACAATTAAAAAAACTCTTAATCTTGAAAGCGCCTTGTCCTGTACTGTCACTAACCGTCTTAGAGCCCTTAGAGATACCAGAAAATCTCGGATATTACGTCCACGTCTGGCTGTAATATTGACCCATTGGCCTAAGACTTCCTTGAGATGTACATCATTTAAAAGGATAGGCCAAAATCTATCAAGAGACTTCCGTACTTCTGACCAACCTACATCAAATGTCGCAATTATGTGGATAGTTCCTGTCTCCCTATTCTCTTTCTTTGCTGGATGATCACATAACAATTCATAAGATTATTTTAGTTATATATACTTTGTTTTTTACAAGCCTATATACATCTCTTTAGGGGTAGCTCTGGTAGGAGGATTCCCCTTGTCTTTATGCGAGAGGATTTCTTCATATTATTTTTCTGCCTTAAAGAATGAGTTCAGGGAACTAGGAAGTAAGCTCAAGAAAAGGACCTCCAAGGTAATATTTTCAGAAATATTACCCGTGCCTCGTGCTACAGCACAAAGGTAGCAGGAGATTAGAGAGGTCAATGCATGGCTGAAGTCTTGGTGCAGGAAAGAGGGTTTGGGGTTTTTAGAGCACTGGGCCGATTTTGTGCTTGGGGTCAACCTACATAGCAGTGATGGATTGCTCCTAAACGGAAGAGGGTCTGCTGTGCTAGGGGATAGGATGGCTAAAAGGTTGGAGGAGATTTTAAACTAGTAGTGGGGGGGGGGTCATAACAATTTAGAAAATGGTGATAGGAAGGAGATGAGCTTTAGTTCAGTATAAGAGGGGAGGAGATGGGGAGGGACAAGCTCAGAACAGAGGAGGTATGTAATATTGATAAAAATTCACAAAAAGTACAAATGACTCATAATATTAAATGTATTTTTACTAATGCAAGGAGCCTAAATAACAAAATGAGTAAACTAGAGGCAATAACAAACACTAAACAATATGATTTAATAGGCATAACAGAAACATGGTGGGATGAGACACATGACTGGGCAGTTAACTTAAATGGGTACACCTTATTTAGGAAGGATAGGAAAAACAAGAAGTGGTGTATGTTTGTATGTCAACCATGAGTTAAAGTCAAATCTTAGGCATATGGAGTGTTACGAGGAAAATGTGGAAGCTTTATGTGTAGATATCTGCTTGGGGCAAAAGAAAGGAAATCAATTATTGGTTGTGATATGTTATAAACCACCTAATGTAAATATTAATTAGGAAGAACAGCTGGGAAAGCAAATTGGGAAAGCTACAAATCTGAGTAACATGTTAATTATTGGAGATTTTAATTACCCGGACATACAATGGGATAGAGGGACTAGTACTTCAGCAAGGGGAATCAGGTTTTTGAATGTGTTAAATGATACCTTCATGTCACAACTGGTACAAGCACCTACTAGAAAGGATTCTTGTCTGGATCGCGTTATTGCAATGATCTTTTGACCAACATTCAAGTATGGGAGCATTTGGGAAAGAGTGATCACAATATGGTAATTTTTAAAATAAACTCAAAAAAGCAAAAGCACGTGGGGTATACTAAAACTTATGATTTAAAAAAGCCAATTTCAATAAGATTAGGGCAGCTCTACAACATATCGACTGGCATAAGTAAAGAAAAACCACTGAAGATAAATGTAAACTCTTCAAACAAATATTAGAAAGATAAATTTCTCAGTATGTACAATTGGTAATAAATATAAAAGAAACAAATTGAAACCAATGTGGCTTAGTAGAGAAGTAAAACAAGAGAGTAAAAATAAGAAAAGGGCATTGAAAGCATTTAAATCAGAAAAAATCTGAGGCATCCTATATAAGATATAAGGAAGCCAATAATGCTTGCAAAAAGGCAATTAAAGTGGCTAAACTAGGAAATGAGAAACTGATAGCCAAAGAATCCAAAACCAATCCCCTAACTTTTTCAAGTAGATCAATTCTACAAAAAAATAAATTTAAGTGTAGGTACACTGGAAACAGAGATGGTTCTGTTAGTTAATGAAGACCAGGAAAAGACTGATATACCTAATATATACTATTTTTCTTCAGTATATATTAGGTATATATGAGGAACCTATGGCAAGAGATATAAAATGATTGCTGCAAAAAATTTGCAGATTACTTGTGATTGGATGACTCGAGACAAAGGTGCTACAGCAGTAAAAGAAAATTAATGTAAATAAAGCTCCAGGGCCTGATGGTATTCATCCACGAGTACTTAAGGAGCTAAGTGGGGAATTAAGTGAACCTCTGTATTTAATCTTTCAAGATTCTTTTGTTTCAGGTATTGTACCAGAGGATTGGAGGAAGGCCAATGTCGTTCCTATATTTAAAAAGGGTTCAAAATCCTTGCCTGGAAATTATAGACCTGTGTGCTTAACTTCTGTGACTAGGAAAATATTTAAAGGGCTATTAAGGGATAATATTCAGGAATTCATTGGGAAGAACTTTTAGCAATAATTAGCAATAATCAGCATGGTTTTATGAAACATAGGTCATGTCAAACTAACCTAATTGCATTCTACAAAGAAGTAAGTAGAAGTATAGATAGGGGTGTTGCAGTGGATGTGAAGGCATTTAATGACAACTTGTTGCACTCTATCTTTAAGCCAATGTTCCACCCAAGAACAAGAATATTCATCTAGACCAATTTCTCTCTCAATAGGTTAGTCTACAAACTCAAAGAAATTGGTCTAGATGAATATTCTTGTTCTTGGGTGGAACATTGGCTTAAAGATAGAGTGCAACAAGTTGTCATTAATGGTACATTTTCAAGCTGGACAAAAGTGATAAGTGGTGTCCCTTGGGACCGCTTCTATTTAACATATTTGTTAATGATCTTGAAATAGACATTGAAAGCAATGTTTTAGAGTTTGCAGATCACACAAAACTTTGTAAAGTAATAAAATGTGAGCAGGATATTGCTTTGCTGCAGAGGGATTTAGATAGATTGGAGGACTGGGCACTAAAATTGAAGATTAAATTTAATGTAGAGAAATGCAAAGCTATGCACTTCGGGGTCAAGAATGCACAAGCAACTTACACCCTAAATGGTAGCAAATTGGGGGTAATTACACACGAGAAGGATTTATGAATTGTTATAGACAACAAATTAGGCAGCAATATGCAATGTCAATCTGCAGTTGCTAAAACCAGTAAGGTTTTGTCATGCATAAATAGGGGCATAAATTCTCGGGATGAAAATATCATTTTGCCTCTTTATAAATCGCTGGTAAGACCACACCTTGAAAATGCTGTGCAATTTTGGGCATCTGTTCTAAAGAAGGATATCATGGCACTACAAAAAGTGCAAAGACGAGCTACAAAATTGATAAAAGGAATGGAGCATTTTAATTATGAAGAAAGGTTAAAAAATGTAAAACGTCGCCTCAGAGGGGATATAATAACATTATACAAACATATTCGCCACCAGTACAAACCATTATATGGAAATCTATTTA